AAATGTTTTATCATCACTTTCTAAATTTCATCCCAATTCTCACAAAACTAAAAGATGTACTAATCCTAAAACCAAAATACCTTGAATTAATCTCCTGGGCTCAAATTTTAAATGTAAATGCACTAGATTCTAGGTCCAAATGTAAGGTTAACTAGATATATATTCTACTGCTAACCCATGTTTGTGCACATGCATTAGCTTGTAAAACAGAATGATTCTTCACTCTGAAAAATATTTTTAGATATTGTTGTTAGAAAAACAAGAAAAACAAATGTGTATGTAAGGAGCATGTGATACATAAAATAATAGGAGCTATAATTCTCCTTAGGCCAATAATTAATAAAGTTAATTACATAACATGTTGCCTGGAATTAAAATTTTAAGATATAATCTAAACATGATAATTTGTAAGTGAAGTACAATAATAAATTTGGAAATTTTCTTGATTTTTGACAATGTAGACAGTCAATTTACATTTTGTATTACAAATGTCTTATTTATCTAAATTTTTTTTCCGGTCTCAATTTTTTTCTGCCAGACTCTAAGAAATATCCAAAGGAAAAAATTATCTCATATGTTACCATATTTTAACACAGAGTTAGTAAATTCCATTCTCACCATGCTACAGACATTACAGCTTAGTTCCAGGATGGTAAAATCACACAAGCTCATGGGTGTTATTTCCCATTTAGAAGACAGTCCTTAAAGATGTCAACAAGGAAAGCCCACACATGGAATTAATTATCACCTACTTTAAATCATCAGACACATTAATTTTAGGCCTGTAAATATTAAAAGAATCTAGATGTCTGCATTGCATTGAACACTTCACATAACATGAGCAATCACTTCAGCTTATTTTGATAGTATTTGACTTCTCTAATTAAAGGCAAGTATATAAAAAGTTTTATATGCATATCTCACTTCAGAATAATTAACTTTGGATATTTGAATTTCATCATCCATTTTCTAAAACCATCACAATTGTCATAGTATCCTAACTCTACCTAAAGAGCCTATTTTACAACTAAATTTTACCCTCCTCCAGTTACTCTAATTGTTTTGATTGCAATAAATGCAATTGATATTTCTACTTGATTACTGTCATAGGGACATGCATTTCAATACAGAAAAGCTATATACTGAAACATCTTCCTCTCTTCTCAAGCCTCCTGAATAACCATTTCTGAGATGGCCCCAAGGCCAAGGTTACAAAGTGTGATTCTAAAATACCACTAATATCAGTAATTGCAGGTAAAAGTGAAATCATTTGAAGAATTGTCTTAGTCTCTTCTCCTCTATAATCACTTCTCTTAGCCTCAGCTCAGAAATGAGCTTGGGTACAGATATCAGAGTAGACCCAGAGATATGCTTTGCTCATCTACAAGAAAAAATAAAACAATGTG